GTTTGCTCTGGGCAACTGCAGCAGCGCGGGTGACTCGGGTGTATATGATATATATCACCCGATGAGTTTTGGCCCTGTATTTTCCAACGGATATCATCCCTAAAGCTCAGAAGCATGGAATTACAGTCCCATGCAACGCTACTAATGCTTTTGAAGCTAAACTTATCACGTTTGGAAATATCAGGAAATGGGAAAGTTGGAATATCAGAAACTTCTTCTCGCTGAACTGTTCTCACGTTTCGCTTTTCTTTTTCAGTAGAATTGCCTTTGGATTACCCGATTTTCTAATTCACCCCTGCATCTAAACCAAGGCCTCTCCATCCTTCCTCTCTCGATCTTGAAGTTTTACCATCTTCAGTTAAAAATCACCTGCAGTTAAAAATCCTGAATGATGTGATTTCAGCCACATCAGTCAAGCGGGCTTCTGATCATTCATGGACCCCTACTAGTGTTACTGCACTTCCCCTCTTTTTTTTTCTTTTCTGTACTTCTACACCGAAACTTTCACGTTCGACTAAACAAGTCACTTGTAGTGGATCTTTCCAGTCGATTTCATGAGCACTAAGATACATAAATACAGAGATACTTATCCTCTATTCTAATTGATACTCGAGACAGAGAATATGAGGTGTAATCTAGAAACCGACTCAAGGCAAAGATCAGATTCTGTCCGTGTTTCCATCTAGACCTAATCTTCAATCGATCCAGGTCTTAGAATGTCCAAATGCGATGATAATCGATCAGAAAAAATTCACGGATGGACACAATAGAATTCGAGTGGATAAATTTCTCGTCATCACTGTGTCTTGAGAACAGAATATGAGCGTGCCTTGAACCTTCATCAGAAAAGCTTCTGACAAATTGCACATTGCAAGGTGTGAAGATCTCTACTCTCCAAAGCGTCCAGGAACGCAACCACCTCTCAAATTTATACCATACCTTCGAGATTCTGCTCTAGCTTCATACGCGGCAGCGGCAGCTAGGTTTCAACAAAATAACCTACACTACTCCTGTGCTCATCCTCTAACAAGGGCTGCTATCGACTCACCAGCATTGGAGTACTATACGTGCACCTCATCAGCACAAATTGCCAAGGCTGCCGCAGAATTCTTGCACAACGAGAATCCGACACTCCATTCGCCGAGCGGAACAAGTCCTTCATGAATCTCGTGACCCTCTGAAATACATGCCCGAGCTGCAGAAGTTCCCGAATTTCCAGCCTGATTTGGGCCCTTCATAAACTAAATCCCAAAACTATGAACCACTGCACCTCATTCTTCTCGCTGCTTCTCTCCTTTGCGAACCAACACTTGTTTCCAGACTATCAAAGCTAACTTCAAATCTCAAGTTATGTCACGAAATCAGATTGGACATTTCACTAACCCAAAATTCAAACGCTGACGGCAAATTCCGACAGAATTTCAAAATTCAAAATTCTGTCCTACCCCCGAGCTCTCGTCCTCGTTACGCTCTTCATGACTATAAAATACTCTCACAAAATTGACACCAATCCGCACAGGAGAGAACCAAATCTGAAACTATGACACTGATCGCAAAATGCCACGAAAATGAGTTCTTCGAGTGAAAAGTACGGGATTTTCTCACTTGAAATCCGTCGGTCTAATTACCCTACTGGCAAGAAACCGTCACCGTCACAAACATAGTCAACCCAAACCCACTCCACACTCAAAAATTCCAGGTCGACGCTCACGGGCACTACTCCTAACACACTACTCCTTCGACGTTCTATTTTACGACCTAAAACCCTAGGTGACTACTGAATATAGTAAGACCAAAAACTATATGACAAGGGTCACATCAAGCAAATATCTCGTCATAATCTGGACTCAAGAATTCATTTTAGAGATGAAATTTGAAACTGTACACTATGAAGTTATCGCAATGTGTCTCTTATATTATTTTTGTCTAGATGGTGAAGGATTTTTGTTTTAATCAAGATATTTGTTTGTAAGATTCACTTTTGGTAAAGTATTCATTTTTTGAAATAGAGCTGGACATTGCGACTGACATAGATCCTTCATCACATTTTTTAATGTAAGAAGTACTTTATGTTACAAATAAATAATCATGAAGATACCTATTTTTGTGTGTAATTCTCGGTCAAATTATATAACACCCAGTTGACCGAAAATTTGATGAACTTGACAAACTGTCTGCTTGATAGGACCCAATACTTTCCATTACTTTCTCCTGTGCTGAGGTCCATGGTGAGTTATTGTTAAACGACAGATATTTTGTTCACGGAAGAGGCACCGGCGGAGGAAGTGTGGAAGCTTGCCCATAAATTTGACATCAACGAGTTGACGGCAGTTTGCGAGAGGGAGCTTTCCAGAGGTATCAACAACGAGAACCTGTACAATAGATTACGACTTGCTCACATTTATGATGCCAAGAGGCTGGATGCAGAGGCAGCTAGGTTCTTTAAGTAAAATTTTGATGATGTGTACACCAGTGTAGAGATTACGTTAAGAGGATCAGATGTGATTTATAACAGAATGTCTCTATTAATATGCTTTGTTGCCACTAACTTCTCGATTCCTACTGTGTTCCTATGAGATGTGTAGAGATTACGTTAAGAGTATCAGATGTGATTTATAACAGAATGTTTCTATTAATATGCTTTGTAGCCAATAACTTCTCGATTCCTATGAGATGTTTGATGAGAGCAATACATTGTGTTCCCTTCAGGCCTGACTATCCATGGTATGTATGTCATCTACGTCCCTGCAAGTAATGGTGACGGCCTTGTTCTCCATATGTATCAATTCTGAACATGTTTGTACAGAGTACATTTTTTGGAATGAAATTTCTGTATTTGAATTTGTATTTGAGAGTATTCAACAATCTCCATGAGTATCAATATTGAACATGTTAATACATGTTTCCAATATTATTCTAAAACATAGGACGTGGAAGGAAGTGAAAACTTTCATTAAAGGTTTCTCAATGATCCTGAATCATAAATCCAATAAGTGCATGCTCATGTCTTCAAAACTTAAGCTTGATTGGTGTATACTAAACTGGTATTCGATAAACGCGCTTATGCACTAATCAGAGAATATTTTTAATGTACAGGGATCATGTTACAGAACATATCCAACCAACTGAGTAGGGATCTATTCCTGTCAGCAATGAGTGGAATGATGTGAAAGATTCAACTGCATTAGACATATGACTGATTGGATTGCTCGCATTCCTTGAATACCTTCTTCTCTTACTGCTATGTACTATGACTTTGGTATAAGTTGTGGTGAGGGGACAGTATTCTCATGTAACTCTATCAATTCTGAAAGTATTAGGCCTAGACCGTTTGTTTACTTTCCGTTGCATCCTGGTAACTTTCATTGGTTCGTAATAAAAATTAAAAATAAGAAAAATGAACCAATAAGGAAAAAACTTGGACCAGACCCGTAATCTAAGAATAACCAGGGTGCATTAATACATGGATGAAATCATTTCTAGGTCGAGTATTTTCCAGGGTCCAATTTTGATAATAAGAATAATATTAATCTGATGACTAGTTTTGCACCTAACATATTTATACAACTTCATGAACGCCTTTTATGAGCATCTCCATCTCATGACCAAGTGCACACTGCAACATTAAACACTGATATTCTCGACTTTTGTGCTCGCATTTCATCGAGGCTTCGGCCAAAGACAGACCATTTCTATTGTCAATTCGGCCGTCGAAATTCAACTCGTCTTCCTGTCTCTCTCTTCCTCCAATCGGCTATGAGCGGAGCAACTCGATGGAGCCAAATCTAAAAGAATTGGATAAGAGGGAGGTGGTAGATATATATCTGTCACTCATAACAACCTTCTTACCTAATACCATCGCTTTGCAGAATGCATAAACTTTCCTGAAGTGGAATTCGATACATAAAATCGAGGTAGGATAGTTCGTAAGGGAGGTGGTTCAAATTGTTTTTATCCTGTATCAAGACCATAATTTTCATAATTTGAACCCATAAATTGAAGTGTATACTCCGCAACCTTTCAAATGCTCTCAACTTTAATAAAGTCCCAAATAGAATAAATACATATTTCCAATATTATTCTAAATTTTAGGAGGTGGAAGGGAGTAGAAATATTCATGAAAGGTTTCTAAATGACCCTGAATCATAAATCCAATAATAATAAATAAATACTCGTGTCTTCAAAACTTTTGCTTGATTAGTGTATACTCAACTGGCATTTAATAAACGCGCTTATACAATGGATGTCAATTCAACTAACAACTCCCTGCAAACGAGGAAACGAGATAAATATACAACGGTTGTACAAAGCGGACGAGCATGGCCTAGAGTTTGATCCCTAGAGATGTTCATAATCATTGGATTATACCGCGGGGTCTACCTCGATTTTCCAACTTGTATGCATAGAATTCCAAGGAGAGCTCCGTGGGTGGAGCATTGTTCGTACATAGAAAATTAGCCCTCGTTTTTTTCTTTTGCAATTGTTTGCATCCCTGTACCAGCCATCGCCGATCCTCGACCCTTCTTGTTGGCATGTTATTACATGCGTTGCCCTAGTGTCTTCCATCACTCCTTACTTGAGCCCGCGCTCAGTTTAAGATCTTGTTCTGGGAAGTGCTGTGTCTAGATTCGGGGAAGCGCCTTAGCGCGTACAGCTCCTCAACCGATATGTACCAGTTTGCAGGGAAGTAGATGACATACATGCCATGGACAGTCAGGCCTGAACGGAACACGAATGTGTTGCTCTCATCAGACATCTCAGAGGGACACTGTAGAAATCGAGAAGTTATTGGCTACAAGTCATATAAGTAGAAGCAACCATAACCCATCATCTCCATTGTCTCGAACCATCACTGAAAATCTCGAAGAAGAAAATTTCTGCGGCTTGAAAACGATGACCGAAGATGTTTTAATGTAGTATTTGACTAATCAACAAAAATACAAATATAACGTCCGAGACTATTAACCATGAAAACATCTGGTCCAAACCGAGACATCCTGTTATGAACTACCTCTGATCCCCAAAAGTAAGCTCTCTACAACTCTGGTGTACACATCATCAAAATTTTCCTTGAAGAACCTGGCTGCCACTGCATCCAGCTTCTTGGCATCATATATGTGTGCAAGTCTTAATCTATTGCACAGGTTCTCGTTGTTGATACCTCTGGAAAGCTCGCTCTCGCAAACTGCCTTCAACTCGTTCATGTCATATTTGTGGGCAAGCTTCAGCACTTCCTCCGCCGGTGCCTCTTCCGTGAACAGAATATCTGCAGTGTAGCAATAATTCACCACGGACCTCAGCACAGGAGCCACTGCATCGTCGACTTGCACTGTGCCGCTCTCCTTCTCCTTCATATCGATATCGAACATCTTCCGAAAGACTGAGGACTTGCCCGCCTTCATGAAACCACAATCCCCAGTCAGCACGACATCAATCACACTCTGCGCTTGATTAAGAGATCTCGTGTCGAAAACATGTCTAACAAAACAAAAGCAAGACTTTCCGTCAGTAAGCACCGGCTAATGGTTAGGCAGAGGTTTTTGCTGTAGAGCCAACTTGTGCCGCAGCCTTCATACTGCAAGAAGCTTTGAAGGATTATGGATCTGGAGATGGATAGATTTCTCTATGTAAGCGACACGAGTGAGAAAAACCCGATGTACTGGACCTCCTCAATGTCTGCAAATCGTCCTACCGAGCAATTATCGTGGTCAATCTACTAATCGTGTGCAGAGTTCGAGGTGAAGACGAACCCCTAAAGAGGCACTATTTCACATGAATCGTCATAAGCTTGTAGCATTGAAGAGGACGACTTGAGACTCGAAGGTTATTGAGTTAATCGAAGAGAATGAAAGTTTCAGGTGCACAACTAGGACAAATGTATAGGAGAGAAAAGACAAAGTTGCAGAAGAAGCGATCTGGATTGATTTCCCTAAAAACAAAGCAACAATTTCCTCACGATGGCACGATTTCCAGCTGAAGATTGAAGGATTCTCAAATTGACTAAAACTCTCAAACGCTCTGCAAACGAGGAAACGAGATTAATTGAGGAAACAACAGTTGTACAAGGAGGACGAGCACGGCCTAGAGTTTGATTCCTCGAGATGTTCATAATCATCGGATTCTACCACGGGTTCTGTAGCAGTGAGGCCTATCCATCCCTTAATTGGCTGCGATCGGTGCGTTCTGTGTGCTTGATTGACTTCTTCGGTGCAAGTGGACGCATTTGGATCCGCCAGGGGATGACTTATTCACATAACCAAATGCAAGAGCCTTGAGCGTGACTGGACTCGTGAGACTCCAGATTCAGACATCCGGAATGTTCTCACGACCCAGAGACGAAACTTCATCAAACAGAAGCCAATTTTCAAACAATGCGAGCGAAACGAGGAGCAGGAGCAGTGATCACCATAATGAAACGATGAGCGAAGACGGGCTCCAGATCGCATCCGACGAAGCTGACATCGCCGCGGAACGATTCGCTGAGAGGGCCGGGCTCGTAAGCCTGCAGAAAGCGCACTTTGTTCTCGAGCTCGTGGTGGGGCTTCTTGTTGAGAGCGAGCGCAGCGATCCGATCCACGCACAGCTTGCACAGGAATCGGCACTGAGTGCAGTTGCTGATACACACATCGACTACTTCAGTGGCCATGGCCAAGCTTCAGCACTTCCTCCGCCCGTGCCTCTTCCGTGAACAAAATGTCTGCAGTGTAGCAATGATTAACCGTGGACCTCAGCACAGGAGCAACTGCATCGTTGACTTGCACTTCTCGCTCTCCTTCTCCTTCATATCGATATCGAACATCTTCCGAAAGATAGACGACTTGCCCGCCTTCATGAAACCACAATCCCCAGTCCGCACGACATCAATCACACTCTGCGGTTGATCAAGAGATCTCGAGTCGAAAACATGTCTAACGAAACAAAAGCAAGCTTTCACGTCAGTAAGCACCGGCTAATGGTTAGGCTGATGCTTTTATTTAGAGCCAACATGTGCCGCAGCCTTCACGCTGCAAGAAGCCTTGAGGGATAATGGATCTGGAGATGGGTCGATTTCTTGATGTAAGCGACTCGAGTGAGAAAATTCCAATATCCTGGACCTCCTCAATGTCTGCAAAACGTCCTACCGAGCAATTATCGTGGTCATTCGACTAATCGTGTGCAGAGTTCGACGTCGAGTCGAACCCGTAAAGAGGCAGTACTTTACAGGAATTGTCATGAGCTTGTAGCATTTAAGAGGACGACTTGAGAGTGGAAAATTATCGAGTTGATCGAAGAGAATTGAAATTTCATGTGAACAACTGGGACAAGTGCGGAGGAGAGAAAAACCAAGGTTGCAGAACAAGCGATCTGGATTGATTTTCCTACAAACGTAGAAACAAATTTATCACGATGTTAGGATTTCCAGCTGACGATTGAAGAATTCTCAATTTGACTAAAAACGCTCTGCAAACGAGGAAACGAGATAACTGGAGGAAACAACAATTGTACAAAGCGGACGAGCACGGGCTAGAGTTTGATTCCTCGAGATGTTCACAATCATCGGATTCTACCACGGAGTCTTTAGCAGTGAAGCCTATCCATCCCTTAATTGGCTGCGATCGGTGCGTTCTGTGTGCTTGATTGACTTCTTCGGTGCAAGTGGACGCATTTGGATCGGCTAGGAAATGAGTTATGATGACAATTCCCTAAAACCAAATGCAAGAGCCTTGAACGTGACTGGACTCGTGAAATTCCAGATTCAGACATCCGGAATGCTCTCACGACCCAGAGACGGAACTTCATCAAACAGATGCCAATGTCCAAAAAATGGCGATACGAAACAATTGCCGAGCGAGAAGCGAAGGCCGGCGAGAGCAGGAGCTGTGATCACCATAATGAAACGATGAGCGTACACGGGCTCCAGATCGGTTCCGATGAAGCTGACATCGCCGCGGAAAGATTCGCTGAGAGGGCCGGGCTCGTAAGCCTGCAGAAAGCGCACTTTGTTCTCGTAACCCTGCAGAGAGCTCACTTTGTTCTCGTAAGCCTCGTGCAGGGGCTTCAGAGCGAGCGCAAGCATGCGTTCTACGCACAAGTTGCACTTGTATTTGGTTCCAGTGCAGCGGCTGTTCTTACACACATCGACTACTTTAGTGGCCATGGCACCTCTTCGAGATGACGATGAAAGGAAATGTAAACCCTTAAACCCGAAACCTTACTACCTTCTGACGGTCATATCGGGCTTAGTAGCAGATTTCTAGGGAAAGTATTCGACGGTGACAATGTCGTCCCTCATACTCCTCTCGGCACGTGCACTAGCAGTTCCTTCGTCTCCGATGTAAAGCCATGAGTACAGAAATGCATTACAACCTTCGACACATGTGGAAGTTTCGAGAAATTGTGCTCCTCACCACCAAAATGCTCTACTTTCCGACTCCCTCATTCTTCTCAGCTCCTTCAGATCAGACTTTGCATCCGGCCAGGGATTTCCGTTAAAGCTACTTGGGATTCATTCACTCTGCCTTGGCTGGAAACCCCCTACTTCAATAAAGCAAACGTCGAGGCTCACAATTCTCGTTCGTCCGACTTCTGAAACGACTGTAATGATCTATCTCTCAGATTTATCAAGCGGATAGATCCCACCAAGATCACGGGTCGGAGAACTGCTTCAGCGTAGAGTGTGAGCGTTCAAATTCCGCAGCCTATAGTACAGTTGAAAACTGGAATCAGTGACGAGCTCTAAATCAATTGACTGCTCTAGATCTGTCAGGCGATCGGCGAGCGATCGCCTGGGAAATGACGCCCATCGTGACGTCCGGGTTCACACAAAATAATTTCATACACTCCGGCAATCAATCTCTTGCCTGCCTCCACTCTTCACTTCCGATTTCGCCCCGCACAGCAAACGAGTACACACTCTCAAAAATAAAGCTTCACGTTGTCCGACTTCACACCAAATTAGCACTGAAAGAAGAACTGTCGACTGATTCGACATCTCTCCGACACGTCACATGCACGTTTATTAACGGCCGTTTCACATGAATCCGTAGGCGTGTATAAGTAGGCGCGGCGGCGTAGCTAGATTTGGCGGCCGTGCCGCTAAACTACCAAACTCGCTACCTGAACGCCTACATTAACGAGGCCGGATAATGCCGCCGAACGCCTACATTCAGCAGGCCGGGCCTCGTCACAATCGGGGGAACGCGAGCTCTGCCCGGGAGGGTTTTCTGCCCGCCCGGGCCCGCATCCCGACCCCCGCACTTCGACCATCGAGGGCCGCCCCGCTCCCGCTAACATGTTTCAACTAACTAGTTGAAACATGTTATACTCCAATCAAACTTGGATTTTCATGCAGCGAAAAGTGGGTATTATTCGAGCGCTGGACATCACTAAATCGGAAAATCAATGCTCCTTGAAGGACTAAAAAAGCACAATCTGATTTACTTCAAGAAACAAAAATACATTCACATTACCTCACTTTGATGTGAAACTCACAATAATAAAAGAAAGAGCCCAATTCAAAACGTATAAGGTGTTGATAATAATCGTATGTCTGATGTAATGGATATGCTCCGGATTTGCCTGTACGATGAATCTACTTCATCCTTTGAGTTGACAATGTCCGAAAGCCATCGTCACAACGTCCTTTCGAAACCATGATCATGATTTCATGGATACGCAATATGTCAATTTCATTCTCTATATGATTTTCTACTGCAATATAACACTCAAAATTTGTGATCGAGAGTTTCTTCTGGGACCAAGGTTAAGGCACTTATTATCAGTCGCGTCTAGCCCTGAATTTGACAGCGACGGCTAAAGTTTAGCCGCTTTTGTTTAGCCGCTAAACAAAAGCATTCACTTCCCGCACACATGGTCCTAGGGTTGCACCCGTCAATTCGGAAATTCGAATTTGCGAAACCCAGAAATCAAAAGACGACTTAGTTTTTTTGGGGGGAAGGAGAGTGGACGCCCCAAACATACTTCATTTCTCCTATTTCTCCTATACAGAGTACAAGTTACATGCGAGGATCTTGTGTAATCTTTCATTATGAGTTTTCTTGTGATTCTCCATCATGTTAATACATGAATAGATTTACTTAAGTGTGAAAATTGAAGAGAAATATGAAGAAAAGAGGGTTTTGAAAAACAAATGACCTAGTTTTGTGGGGAAAGAAGAGTGGAAGCCCCAAACATGCTACTTCATTTCTACTCTATTTCTCCTCCCCTTTGCGAGGGGAGGAGAAAAAAGAATTACAGAGTACAAGTTCCTGCAGGGAAGGGAGGCCGCGAGGAAAAGAGCCCGATGGTCGAGCGGGAGGGCCACTGGTCGAAGCGGGAGGTCGTGCTGCGGGCCCGGGCGGGCAGAAAGCCCTCCCGCGCAGAGCTCGCGTTCCCCCGATTGTGAGGAGCCATTAGTGACGAGGCTGGCCGGGTCATGCGTGTTGTGAACTATTCTATAACTAGTGTACAAGAGAGAAAGACTTTTTCAATTCTCACCAATCAGAAGAGTCTGAGATTCACCGTACTGTACATAGGAAGGGGGCTGACTAATAAACTTCAATTAGAACTTCACCGAACACATACACGATCTTAGTGTTCGAGTGAAGATTAGTGTATGAGGGTAATTTTTGTATACCTGTGTGGTTTGCATTAATCAAGGGATGGGAAGTTTTGAGATGTGACAGTTCCTTGTAGAGAACAGGAAATTTAATCATTCGTACATCTTTCATCATAATTATCTCCCTTTCACCTCAATTTCTCTCGATATACTTTATATATATTTGGAACAAAATCTCAAACTTCATCCATCTGAAAATCTTCACTCGACAATTCATTTTACGGGATGAAATCTGAAACTGTACAATATGAAGTTATCGCAGTGTTTCTCTTATATTATTTTTATCTAGAAGGTAAAGGATTTTTGTTTTGATCAAGATACTTGTTTGTAAGATCTACTTTTGGTAAAGTATTCATTTTTGAAAATAGAGCTGGACATTGCGATTCACATAGATCCTTCATCACATTTTTTAATGTAAAAAGTACTTTATCTTACAAACAAATAATTTATGTAGATACCTATGTTTGTGTGTAGCTCTCAGTCAAATTGTACAACACCCAGATGACCTTTAAGATATGTATGGCTAATTAGGAACGAATCAGGAATTATAAACTCAGTGACTGAGCCAAACTCTTTAATATACTTCATTTAAGCAAGACGTAGAGGTACATCCAACATCGTAAAGCTTGATTCTTCTTGATGATGCCCCGGATATATTTCAATGATAAACATAAAAAATTATTTGATGGAAACTCAAAACACTTATGGTACCCAGCAGGTTTTAATTTACAAGATGGTTACCATAGTGTCCCAGCGTCAGGGATGTTACAATAATATTTGGGATTAGTTCGAGTAGAACATGAAGTACCGGCAAGACCATATCCGGAGTAATTCAAACTCGTGGTGCCTGTAGTTTTCTTAGACATTGCTGCGAAAGAGTCGCCAAAATACTCCGATGGTGGCGGACACTCCCCAATCTATAGATAAAATTTGTAGGTTATAAGAACATTAATTACTGTGGCCGTCGAATGGGTCACTTCCGGTCAAATGAATCCTGTTGGGTCCCTTCAAGACGATTTAGTTTCCAACGTGTCCCATCAATTAATTTCCTCTCGATTTAGCATATTAGTTTCACTTTGACTGGCTTGTGCTGGAAACTTCGCGTGGAAATAGATTGAAATCATGCACCCACAGCACAAAGACAGCACCTTCACGCAAATGCCTTGACATGCTGCAGGATAATAGCTGCCACAGGTATACAGGACTTCTCCACCAGGAACACCGAAGTGGATTCTTAACATGTCTGCCGAGAATTACTTCGATTTGAGGTATGAATGACGACCAAGGCTGGCAGGTCGGATGAGGTTCGGAAAATTTTGGACGAAGATATGAGGAAGAAAGAATTTGGGGCTGTCGAAGTGTTCCTAATGTAGAGGCTCGTGCTCTGAGGGAGATGGTCAATCAGTGCTACACTGCAGGGTTAGATTTCGACGACTAGAATGACCCTTAAGCAGATACCTCTCATCCTCGCCCACATGTACGAAATCTGATTGCTGGAGCTTTTTGTTGGTAGACAAATGATTGAGAGCGGAGGTCTTTCCAATTAGCCCAGCACTTGCACAAGTGTGCGAGTTTAAGCAGGTGGATGCTGGCCGCAAGGGCAAGTCAAGCAACGTTTTCAGGAAAAAATGGATTCAGTTTCAGCTAACCTCGTCGAAAGGTTACCAGCTTTATACCTGAAGGATAGACGGTATAACACCGATGTTCAAATCTAGTCATGTCGGAAATGTCGAGTGCTAATTTACACGAGGAGTTCCACTCTAAAGTCAGCTCAGGCCAGGCCTCGTTCTCCTCTGTGATTCGCAATTCGCCAGCAGCTGGTGCCCACCAGAGCTCTTTGAAATTTCCGACTTAAGGGCGCTATCCAAATTTCGCAAGGAGTGGATGATCCCTGGATCTGAAGCGCGAGTTTATGTCTCCTCCTGGAAGCTTGTAAACCGCGATCCGCTACAAGCTGGATACAGGAGGATCTGTCTCTTCATCGAATGGACACATTCTTTGCCGGGGGAAGGTCCAGAGCAGCTCTCGCGCAAATGGAGCTGATGTTCCTCCGCCCAGCCAAATCGAATCACTCTGATCAGCTCAACTCGCCTCTGCTCTGCTCCGTGGCTCGGTCGGTCGGTCGAGTCGAGCGTCCACTGAAGAAATGATGGGCGGAACCGGAGGCCCCAAGAAATTCACAGAATGCAGAGTCGACCTCGAGGTTCTGATCCATCAGAGCCTGCTCCTCGGCGGCGGGCTTCTCGATCTATAGGCGCAGGAACAAGAGCTCGAGCCTGCCGTCGGGCTGCGCGCAGAGAGTGTGGACGATGCAGGTCGGAATCGTCGGCATCTCGATCTGCGCCCCCGTGCACATGCTGCACGGATCGATGCGGTCTCACCGAGTTGCCATCGCTGCTTTGTCCGGAAATCTGCGCGGATCGGCCCGAATTGTATCATCCAGCTGACAGTCGGGATTGTCGGCTCATCGTCAGAGCACTCGAGTCGTGCAATTGCACGACTCTATTGCACGACTCGAGTGTCCTGAAATCGAAGCGGGCACATTCTAAACTCTCGGAACTCATCGATCGTAATGAGCATTTCAGGTCGGTCACAATCTCTGCCCAGGCAGGCAGGCAAGCAGGCAGGCCCTGGGAGCCAACATTCGGCGTCCGAAGCTTTCAGAACATGGTTCATCGGTCTGCCGGAGGTGGTAATTTGCCACGGTTCGGAGATGCTTACTTGAATTTGGTCACACTTGCCTGGTCGCAGCGATGGCTGAGCCACACTCAACTTCAGCAATGTCCAGCCCTCCTCGCACCATCGTACTAGACCAGTCAATTGAGCTAGAGCTCGTCACTGATTCCACAGCTCAACTGTACTATAAGCTGCAGACTTCGAACGCTGGCATTCTACGCTGAATCAGTTGCACAACTCGTGATCATTGTGGGATCTTTCCGCTTGATAAATCTGACTCTTATCACAGTCGTTGCAAAAGTCGGTCGAAAATTGTGAGCCTCGACGTTTGCATGGCTTTATATCGGAGACGAAGGAACTGCTAGTGCACGTACTGAGAGGACTATGAGGAACGACATTGTCACCGTCCGAAACTTGCCCAAGAAGTCTGCAATGAAGCCCCAAATTTACCGTCAGAAGGTAGTTGGTTCCTTGAAATTGATCATGATGTTCGCAGCTCTGGACGGGGAGACATGGAGCTCAGTTTTCACATATCTCACACGACACAGAGTGATCCCCAGCGTTGCAATGGGGTCTCCAAGGTCCATAGATGTACCTTGAGACAACAAGTACAAATTCACATGTCATCAGCCCGGCTAACTCAATAACTACCGCTCTACCCTTGGAGCGATTTCCCCTCATCAAGCTCCCCAGACCCTGGAAATCTGTTAAGTTTCAGCTGACTATGTACTTTGAAATCATCTTCCTCCACCACGTAAAATAGAGTCCATCTCGAATGGCAAGAAGGCTGCTAGTTGACAGGAAGCATGTACAACAACAGTGCTAAGAACGAAGTCAAACTCGCTCTTCATGTGACCGAATGTGTGGGCTCGGTATGGAACAGATTGGAGAAAGGAAGAATGAGCTGAAACGAGGACATTGGTATGCTCAAGAACTTACCAACAATGAAAGGAACATCTCTTCATGTTCCACTCTTGTCCTTCCTCTTCCTCTCAGGTCGTAAGATTGATATCCGACGATTTTCTCGCCGTCGTCATGTCTTCGTTGACTGTCGTCGCTGCCAATGGGCTACTGGAGCATCACCGACATCAGTTAGCACTTGGTCAACCATGCTTCGCAACAGAGAACGTCATCTTGAATTATTAGTAGTCCCGAGTAAATTCTCATCACGCAACTCAAGCTACTAAAAGTAAAGTCGGACTATTTGCTTGACTCACGAAAATCTCGATGTTAGGTGGCATCTTCCCGTCTTTATGGAGCAGTACTAGCTGCTTTCTGCTGCTGCTGCTGCTGCAGTAGAGTCAAACTCTGTACATAGCAGCAGCTGCCGCTGATATTCCTGCAGCTGACATTATTCCTCCGGTCCGTACTATATTCATGCTCCTGATGCGAGATCGAACTTCGTACTTCACTGAACCATACTTCCCTGCATATACACCGCCGATGATCTTTCAAACGGATCAGTCACATGCATTCACACATTGTGCTGAAACTCATCATGATCGGAATCGCCACATACATCTGAGCTACTACCAGATAGACTCCGTGTAGACTCCCGCCTGCACCGAGGTCTACATGAGCAGCTCTCCGAGCTCAGGGAACTTATCTGACAGAGAGAGCTCAGACTGCAGAAGAGAAGAGAAGTGAAGAGAAGAGAAAAGATGTGTGTTTGGAGGATATAGTGATGGCTAGGTCTTGGGGACTTGGGGGAGTACATATACAGGTGCTAGTACCTGAACTGCAGGCTGAGGTACAGAAGGGGAGTTGGGCAATGGGCACGCGGAGGCCCACAATCTGCACACGCGCTACGTGCCGAGTTTTCGCACGCTCCAAACCGGAGACGAGATCTGGCAGACGAGACCTGCAGCCGAGCACTCTAAGGGAGGGCTTGTACTACCACACTACAGACCCACCAGATGCCTCAGTCCGGTGTCCACACTCGGATCGAGATATTCTCATCCCTTCTACATTACAGACAGTACAGAAATTCGCATCAGCACTGCAAGTAATGATAGTTGGAAGACCACTACCACCATTACTTGTAGGAAATCGCAGGACAGCATTGTCTGGACTTCGTTTCTCCCCATGGCTTATTTGACGTGACGGCTAAATTTGTGGTCCTCTGATCATGATATCACGGTTTCAAAAACCTCGAGTCTCAGTTTAGTCTATGCGACTCTGATCCATGAGTAAATATGATCAGCAGAGCAGCATTTGACACAAAGTTGGGGTACTGATGACGTGTTCCTGGTTGTCGATGGAGGCGAGTAGACTCGGGGGCGGTTGTTGCTCCAGAGGGTGCTCCGGGAGGCTCAAATTCCGACAGCATTGGCAACGGATCAGACCGAGATCCGATATGTAATTTTGGAGGCGGTGGGGAAGGCTGACAGAAGGCGCTCGAAGCTGAGTGAAGCCAAAGGCCGGGCAGAGAATGGAGGCGAGAACTGACAGTCAAAACATTCTCGGTGGTAAGAACCAAAGCGCCGGAGTTACTTCCTACTCTAGGCACGGCTCGAGATGCTCGAGATGCTCGAAGGGCGTCGAGCCTAGTGCAGAGGAATAAAGAAGGGGGCATCTGAGCTCCGAAATCCAGCCCAATTCAGGACACCGAACAAAAGCAGCAAGATCACAAGAGGGAATGAAATCATCATATTGTACGCTTTACACGCAATCCCCGAATAGATGCCTGCTTCGAGGAGCTCGCCGCCGCCTGCAGATAGAATAAGCCGATGCCAAAGTAGATATGTTCAGCACAAGGCCAGCGTTGATGGCGTTGGATTTTTGCTCGAGTTTTGCCCCACCCCGGACCCGTGCCTGCTCGGTAGCAAATTGAGCCTTCGCAAGGATCTAGGAGACACGCGCGTCGGACCCAAGGCATTGGTGTGGGTGTGGGGCCGACGTGAGCAGCTCTTCTACGAGCAGCTGTCAATCAATTGGGTGCTCGGAAGCTCTCGCTGCTCATCGAAAGCAGAATCCCGCGAGCCTGGGAGCAGCTTTGCATGTCAGAGCACGGTAAAGAACTCAACAAGTTGCAGTAAAGAGGCTGAAAGGTTGTTTTCTTGGGATTGTTCTCAGATTTCTCATCTCATATGCTGAGAACTGCATTGGGGTCCACCTGATGGCCTTTCACCAACTCTTGCAGTGAAATCAAGCGCACTCAGAAGACCGAACTGTCTACTCGAACGAAGTTCAGCCCGACCTGCCTTCGTTACCACAGGGCTTTAGGGACATGATCGAGTCGTGAGGGCACTGATCCAGTCGATAGCTACTGCCACGACATAATCCCCGAGGATTATTTCATGGGAGTAACTATTGATCGGATCACATAGGGCACAGTGCCATCGAGACCTCGACACAGAATATGATTTTTTAAACTGGTCTGTTGGTTCTTCAATTTGGCAGCAACTGTAGGTGCCGCAGTGCTGCACCAGCCTTAGGCCGGTGAGATCATGCTGAGCTCTCGGTCCCAAAGCATCTGCAAGCCTGGTGCCATTGGAGTAGATTCCTAGACCCGAGCCATGTCCTTCCAAATTCGAAAGGCTTTGCTTTACTCAGCTGCTTTACTTAAACGACGTCCCCTCAACAGCATCTTCATCGCATGTCCGGTCCAGCATATTATTTCGACTGCGCATTTCCCAGAGTGACATAGCTCATTAGAGAGAGACGGGCATCAGGTTTTCATAGCACATCAAACTCTCCTGCGTGATCTGTTCACGAAGGGTTCTGATCCCTGCTGCGAAGTCACCTTTGGCACGAATCTCATTCCAGCTCAAGCCGTCTAGAAGTTAAGTGCACACTTGCATCTGTTGTGCATTATTGTGTGCATTTGTCGAGATTTGGGCTCTGGGTTTGGGATGGTGATTGTTGTGCATATATTTATATATAAATATGCGATTTTCAAACCGAAGATCTTGCGAACTGGGGAAGAACTTAGCCTTAAAAGGTCACTGTTTTGAGACTCTTAAGAAGTTTGATGTCTTATTTCGCAAGTATATTGCATATAAGTTAACATAAGAATGAAGTTTTGCTACCATGTAATGTTTACACTTTAGGAATACAACATCTAGTTCATAATTATAACATAATAAAATGTGGCGTATGCCTATTGAGTCTAATGCAAAGAAAAGTTTGGTACAATTTACATCTTCCAAAAAAAGTTCGTTATGCATTATTTTGGAAATTTTTCTTTTGGAAAGATCTAAAGCATTATTTACATTTCTTGAATTTTACTTAGTCATATAATGTCACTTTAGAATATAAAAAATTCATGATATTTTAAATTTTTAAAATTTCACATAAATTTGGAATTGATTTATATTTTAATTAATAAAAAAATTCTCTTTATAATCGTTTTATATTTTTGGAAATTTTTCCAACTGTTCATCTTATCAGAAGTTTAAAAGTAGATTTTCTGTACAATATTATTATATTAATCATTTTAAAATTTCAGAAAAAATACGTGTTGATTGTTTGATAAAAAAAATTACATTGTTTCTATTCACAATCATTAAAAGAAAATTTTTACATTAAATTTTGTTTTTTTTTGGCCAAAATGAACTCAATAATATAAATATGATTACATGGATGTAGCTTCATCCCTAGAAAATGACATATACTAACTTTTAAGTTTCAAACTTTAAAACTTAAAATATTTGGCATAATTTAAATTTATATAGTTAAAGATGATACATAGCAAGTTGGATTTTACATACTATAAGGATAAATTTTTTCTATACCTAAGTGAGGAGTAAAATGTCTCCTAAACTATAAAATTTTGTAGCATGTAGAGTTGTTGTTTTTTTATGATGAACCCATATCATTGAAAGAGTAAAAGATTACTGTATCAAAATGAGATAAATCTTTATTCATATACATTGATCACAGATTCCATAATTAAAAAATAATAAATGGAGGAGTAAAAGTTTTGGTAGATATATAAGATCTGGATTCAGTTTTTAATGTGATTGCGGCAATTCGGATTCACTTCAAGAGATTTGTATTTCCTACATAGGAATGAAATGATGAATTGGATTTAAAATTCTCAGATTTCAATGAAATGGTGATAATTTATTATGCAATATATAAATCACATACAAGCTTATACATATGTAGATACATATATTTAGGCAAGATATTTAAGACTATTTTCATTGAAAATATTTTAAAAGATTAAATTGTAAATTGTGAATATTGTTATAATCTTTATACAATTTTTAGTTTTAGTTTTTAGTTTTTAGTCTTTATAAATTATTTGTTTAATATATTTATATAAACATAAGATTGATTTACAACATGTTTTTGATACATTTTGATACATATACACATGTATCAAAATGTGGTAACCCACTTTTTGGTTTTGTGCGGAATTTAAAACATTTTTGGAAAACAGTACCGTAGCAACAGTGTAAATAGTAATCGGTGCATTTAAATAAAGTGAAAATGGATGATCGCGGGTCTCGTAGAATCTCGTAGAAGCCAGGAGTTGGGCGCACTGTCCGGGACAGGCGCCCCGGCCCGAACGACTGATTCTAAAGGGAATCCCCTTCGACGCAAGGCGGAGAATACATCTTCGGCGCTAGGGAAATCCCTCAGAACTTATTTAAGTCATAACGCCTTGACTTGGTTAGAATTTCGTTGGAAAGAGCTCAACGCACTCGTTCTAACGAGCCCAAGAACGCTTGAAACGGATGAGGGATCAAGGAGTTAAGATTGTCGGAAGAGATTGAGAGGGAGCGCATTCGGCGGAAGGGCTAGGTCGACGGATGAGCCGCCTTCGGTCCTAGGTCAACGCCTTCGGAGGTGAACTCCTTCACACGAGCGCCTTCGGAGAAGAGCATCACGATTAGGTCAACGCCTTTGGGGCAAGCAATTCCGTACGGTCCGCCTTCGGCGGTACGAACATGTGCGCCTTCGGCGGAACGGAACTCTAGCGGAGAAAGCGCCTTGGGGGTACAAGAGGGATCGACAGAAAGGACAAGACGAGTTGACTGCGGTCAACGCCTTCGGCGATGCGGGATAGAACAGAGATGCAAGTCGGTCAGAGGCGAAAGCCTCCGTCGCCGCGCCTTCGACGCTGCGCGAATCAGGCCACGGCGAAGTACGATGGTAGAAATCGAATTCAATTTTCGAGCGTGTGAGTCCGCGCTGCGGCGGAGTGTGAAGCCGAGCGTGCAAGAGGAGGGCCGTTACGCCTCCAAGCCGACGCAACCATCAAGTGGGACGATCCCCACTCCAAGTGTCGACGATGAAATCTTGTGAGCCAAAGGCATGCGACTCATTCTTGAAATTGCATTTTCGATTTCTCGTGAGAGCTTCGCGCGCACGCAAGTTGGCAGAGAGAAATCAGAGGAGAAGGCGACGCGCAGCGACTTGCAAGGCAGAGAGAGAATTGAGTGCGAGACCGCGGGAATTGAGTGAGTGCGGAGCTCACAGAGGGATCTCATCCGCGTGCACGAAGCTTGGGCATAGCAGAGGAGAGTTTGCGCAGTGCAATTTCAAGAACGCGATGTCGAAAGCAACACAACTGCGGATGATTCCGCTAAAGCTTCCGCAGATTGGGCTGCGCGCTTTCCAGCACGAGCTGACTGCGGTGAAGCTCGATTTCCTCCTGTGGTGGTGGAATTACGTGCGTCAGGACATGGTGCGCGAGTGGCAGAAGGAGAGAGACCAACCTACGCACGGGTTTCGACTGCACGTAGAGCGATGGGTCATCGAGGACTGGGAACAAGTGTTGGCAAGATGTGCGGGAGAGGACGGGCATCTCCTCTTCGATAGCGAGAGCATCAAGGTCACGAAGGAGGAGGAGATTTCCTTCGCGGCCCTTTTCAAGAGCAGCAAGTCCAGCAAGAACGGGTACAAGACTCGGGACTACAAGGATCGCTACCGCAGAAATGTCGCGGTAGCACTTCTCCAACTCTTGC